GTACCTGCGAAAAGGAGTTCGGCATCAGTAAAACAAGTAAAAGAAGAGCAAGACAGGATCGCTAGGGGAAGAACCTACCCGAACTCAGGCCAGCAACAATAAGCTTGGCCTCCGTCAGATACCGTTGACACTCCAGCCCAAGCCGCGCCCATTGCCGGAGGCCCTTCCCGTCTCTTTATCGAGTGTGATGCCGGAGTCGGGAGCGGCCAACCCCCAGCCGGTCTGAAACGGCCACCCCAGTGCACTTCGCACCCCGAAATAGTCCCGCTATTTATATCCACATCGGCCGAAAAGCGACGGCCCAGATCAAAGCCAATCCAACAGCCCACAGCCACGCTAACCGCACGTCTTCCAAAGCCGACCAGCGCACGTCTTTCCGAAACTGACGTGGCGTCACGCACGTCCCGTCAGAGATGACGGGGTGTCAGCACGCATCTTCTCGAAACTGACAAGGTGTCAGCGCACGTCTCCTCGCAATAAAAGCATATGCAGCACGACTCCCGAACGGCTACCATCACGTCTCCCAAACGTGCGCCTTTTTTGAAAATCAAATTAAAGCGAGCGCCCTCGGTACGGACCAAAGTCCTCCTGCAACCTTACGAACTCCCTGGGCCAAGAACATGACCCTTGTCGCAGGGAGTGGGGGGCAATTGATGAAGGGAAATTTGGCACGACCTCGCAATCACCCGACACGTGGAAAAAGCAAGCAACTCGGGGCAGCAGAACGCCCAAAACAAGTCCAAGCTCGCTACTGAGCCCGAACTCCACCAGACCGGATTCCCTATTAGGAGCCCGAGCTCCCTACCAAGAACTCGAGCTCCCTATTAAGAACCCGAGCTCCCTACTATGAACCCGAGCTCCCTGCAAGGACCCCGAACTATCTCGGGTCCTAAACCTCACGAAGCCATGACCCGAGCTGGCCCATGGCAGCTCGGAACACTCCCCAAACCGAACTCAAGACCTCGCTCGCCACTCCAGCACTTCGCTTCCGAAACACCAGACTGACCAAACGTACCTGACACTGAGGACGTCCGTATCCAAGGGCGGCGCACCTGACTGATTTGGGATTTGACGCTTGACAGCCGCACTTCAAACGGCCTCCT